CACGAGCGATTTCAGCACCAGTTTTTGATTTTAGTGGTCTAGTCCATAGGTACTTGGAAAAACAATCAATCACGACCATTATCAGCTTGTGATCCTCATTTACAGAGGCATAAGGTCGCATTTCGGCTAGATCCATTTGCCATAAGTCATCCAAACCTTTGATGATAATGCGGCGCCTTGGAAATTTTTTCCTAGCAGGTCTATGTAATTCATTGACGAGTTGGATTCTTTCTTTAGAATGTGACATATTGACTTCGTTGGATTAGGAGTTTATATGATGGGTTTCACACAGGAGGCTTCCTTTTTGGTGGCGGTGGTGTTGTCGTAGATTTTGGAGTGATGGCAATCTTGGCCAGATCTTTTTTCATTTGATCAATGACATCAGAAAGCTGGCGTTCTTCATCACGGCTGTGTTGTTGCTCAGCCTTCAAATCGTGCAAACTCTTCACAGTGTTGTCAATCTTATCGACAAGTTCTAGAATATTTTTCACATTCAAGTCGATGTCGCTTTCGAGTTTTGGTAGAGAGTTGTTGCGAAGCTGCTTCACATGTATGTTGATCTTGTGCACTATGCCAGACAACTGAACAAAGTTTGTATTGTACGTTGCCAGTTTGAGATCATGAGAATCCACTCTCTTTCGTACATCGATGATTTCGTTGCTGAAGCCAGCAAGGTAATTCCGGATTTTTTCACCGTAATTATCGAAAGCAATCTTGAAATCTAACTTTATTTGCGATATAACTTCATCCACATATTGTTTGTTTGCAACATCAGCGACATCTGTTGGCAGTTTTACGTTACACATCTTCAAATGACCAACATCAATATCACCGGTTGGAGTATGTGAAAATCCAGATCTGACTGTCACCATCTGAGCTGAGCGTGGAAACGAACCACGTCCGAATTTGTCGAGACTCATTATGCTAATGACTAAAGTATTGTACGTTATCGATAATGGTCGGCACTTTGCCTCGCCAATTATTAGCCCCTTCACTCATAGACATGCCATGGAAGTGTCGCGGAACTGTCACGGAAGTGTCAAGGAAGTGTCACGGAACTGTCACGGAAGTGTCAAGGAAGTGTCACGGAACTGTCACGGAAGTGTCAAGGAAGTGTCACGGAAGTATCACGGAACACGGAAATGTCACCGAATCGTCACACATGTTTTATTATGCCTGCCTCTTCTAATTCGTTCAAGATGGCAACAATCTCGTTATCGTTTGATGTATTTCCGGCTTGCTGTGATGCAATGAGCAACTTCAATCTATCTACCAATTCGTTTGGATCATCCCAATACATGTATTCGATAGTTGCTGTGTTGTATGTCAACTTCAAACCACGACCACTGGAATTGGATCTGAACATTGGACGAATAATTTCTACGTATTTGAGTCTAGAGGAGGACTCCATACGTCCTGCAGAATTCAGATGAGCTTTGGTGAGCAAGAGTATTTGCTTGTATGGGTTCGTATCATCTTTGGCAAAGGATGGATCATTATAGAAGAGTAATTGATAGAGGCCTGGGGTGCCACGGAACCGAAAGCCATCAAGAAGTACCATTTCGATGTTACTGGATCATATTTGGGGCCATAAACCGTATCGATATTTTCATCATTTGTCCAGTATTCAGTCAGATATTTTTGAGCCATCGCAGGATACTGATCAACGTAATCATGTATTGCAGCCGGTGAGATATTTTCACTATCTGCAAAAAGTTCATCATCAGCATCGTCATAACCATCCTCATCATCATCTTCAGTATGCCCAGCATCATCAGCCACATCCATCATAGGTATGAAATTAGTTTGATTCAAATCCGATTGCTCCCTCTCCACCTCCCCATCCTCTTCCTCCTTCTTCTCCTTCTTCAACCCCAACGACTTTGCTCTGCTTCGCTTGATGTTTGAAAGTGTTCCATCGAGTTTTTCTTCTATGACCTTGGACGCTGAGGCAATTCGTTTCAAAGGCGATGTCAGTGGTTGGAATATTTTCTGTAACGCATCATCATCCTCAGACTTGCCCAATTTTAGTGCTAAATATTTTCTTCTGATTGATTTCGATAGTTCGTTGATTTTTTTCTTGCGCAGCGCATCAGCAACATCATCATGCATCTTGGTTGACGTCATCTTGATGAATGGTCTAGAGATCACAGTCTTATGAACTTATCGAAACCATTTCTATATCTGCCAGCATTCATATCGAAAGTTTTTGCAATCACCATCGCACCATATTGGTTGGAATTCCAACACTCTGAGCACAATTCTTTGAATTGATCGAATGACATGTCTGGTGAGACATGCTCGTCGAACACATGCTCCAAATTCATTTCATCCTGTCGAAATAACACCAACAGGTTACTGTTGTCTCGCACCAGCTGCTTCGGTATCTTAGAAAAAGTCTGGCATAGGTATGCTACGTCAATATCCTTGTGTCTACACATTGAAAAATATTCTCGAATTTTTTGCTGCTTGTCGCATGATACATCATCAAAAATGAATATCGAATGATTTTCCGCTTCTGATGGACTAATGACATCATCATTTTCTTTAAAGGGGAAATACCCAACACCTTTCACTGAATCCAACACTTGTTGCAGCAATTGATATTTCGGTTGGTACAACGACTTTGAATACACGTAAACGTTCTTGAATTTCGCGCCATTTGGATTGAACAGCAAGGAAAGCATCGCATTGGTCTTTCCACATCCGCTTGGTCCGCAGAAGATTGCTCTGAACGAATGGGGAAGCAGTTTCCCATGTTTACTATTTACTGGTGGTTTGGTTGACAAAATTTCATCCAAATTCACAATGGGTAACATCCGTTCTTGTTGAATGATCTTCATCATGTGACGATATATTTTTCATTTCATTATGTATATGCAGAGTTGTCGAACTTCCTACACATCAGTCTTTATGTTGCTCTACCACGGAGGAGGTGTGCTTAATTCTCTGATCGATAAACTTCCCATCGAATTACACATTCCAGGCTACAGATTTTGTGGTCCAGGTACCAAACTCGATAAAAGACTTGCAAGAGGAGACACCGGTATCAATCCGTTGGACGACGCGTGTCGAGAACACGATATCGCCTATTCACAAAATTCCTCAATAGAAGACAGACACAAAGCTGATTGGATATTGGAAAATAGAGCGTGAAAGAGAGTCAAGTCGAAGAACGCTAAATTCAAAGAGAAGGCTGCTGCTTGGCTTGTCACCACCGGAATGAAGGTCAAACGAAAACTTGGCATGGGTCTTGTATCACAGCAATCCCTATCCAACATTATCAAATTCATAAAAAATGTACTATCAAAGTCAGATGGTGGTGGTGGTGGTGGTGGTAGTACAACATCAGGAAGTGGTCTGAATAAATCTGCATTGAAAGCACTCCATGCAGCCAGAATGGCAGTCGAGAGGGCTGGCGGTAAAAAAAGAATCAGAGTACCAAGAATCATACCTCTTCCACACAGTGGCGGTATACTACCATTGATATCAATCTTTGCCGCCTTGGGAGCCCTAGGATCTCTAGCTGGAGGAGCCGGAGCAGTCGCAAAGACAGTCATTGATGCGAAAAATGCAAAGAAAAAGCTCGAAGAAGATCAAAGGCATAATAAAGCAATGGAGGCTATCGGCAAGCAGGGTTCCGGCCTATTTCTACGCAAAACATCGAGAGGATTCGGACTGTACTTGAAGAAACAATCAAAAAACTCAAAAAACTTCTAGACAAGCTACCCAATAAATCAATGTACGATAAAGATGTGATAAAGTATGCCAAACAGCTGAAAATACCGTATTTTCGAGGTGTTTTTATGCGGGACACTCTACCTTCCACCGGTCCATGGCATCGCGAGTGTGCTGTATTGAATTTGGATACCTCCAATCATGCGGGCACTCATTGGGTGGCTTACATAAAAAATGATAAAAAAGCCTTATATTTCGATAGTTATGGTAATCTGAAACCGCCCAGAGAATTGGCGCAATATTTGGGTGCCAGCACGAAAATCTTGTACAATAACAATCAATACCAGAATTTCAATCAAAGTAATTGTGGACGTCTATGTTTAGAATTCCTTTTTAATGAGACCAAGTAACTCGGTCATTGTGCATCAGTCATGTCTCTGATTGTGACGTTGAAAGGTCGTACATCTACGCTCTCCATAGACTTTTTGACACCACTTCAACTCGATCCAGACTCTGATTACGGACTAGCATTATTGGGATTCCATTCATACAACAGTATACCAAATATCGACAAAGGATCAAAGTTTTATCTGCAAGATAAGACCAAGGCGGGAAAGATCATCGATATTCCCGAAGGTTCATACGACATTGTGGACATTGAGACATTCATACGCAAAGAATTGGGCATCTCAAGTGCAAAGGACGTTGATGATATATTCTCGTTGAAGCCCAACAACAATACACTAAAGTGCGAGATTTCGAGCCAAAGGTTTGCCATCGATTTTCGCCCGAAGGATAGCATAGCTCAAGTCTTGGGATTTTCAAATTGATTGTTGAACGCACAACAAGTCCACACTTCCGATTTACCGGTCAGCATAACCAAAGTGAGAACCATTCACATTGATAGCAACGTTACTGCTGGAGCTCTCTACAACGACAGACCATCACATACGATCTACGAGTTTGCAGTTGCAGTTGATCCTGGTTACGCCATAGACGAGACTCCCAGAAATCTAATCTATCTACCTATAGTCAGCAGGCGGAAATTGCCCAACATTACACTCCAGATTCTAGACCAAGATTTCAGGCAGGTGAATTTTAGAGGTGAAGAAATCATCATAAGATTGGAATTGAAGAAACTCGCAAGATGGTACTAGTGTTTGATTACTCCTATAAATCAGATAATATACCATCATCAGCAACATCATCGGCACCAGTTCTCTCGACACCGTACACCAAAGCAGTCGTGTCTTCGAAGAGCAGCAACAGAAAAACATTGACATTATCAAGTGTCCTGTTTCTGAAATCACTCAAAGACTACAATGTTGTTAGCACCCGTGTTCGACGTTTTCCGCAAACCCAGATCCGACGAAAGCATCACTGAAGTGGAATGGCGTACCTATTATCCATATGTGAAATCATTCGAGAACAATGATGTCATCGATATAACGGTTAATCAAGCAGATTCGTGGTTGGCCATGTTTGAAGGTATCACTACCATCAAGGGTGAATTGAAGGTGACCGGTGGTGGTACTGGTACATTAACTCACAATACTGGAGCTTATCTCTTTGATTCCTGCACCTATGAATTATGTAATAAAGAATTGGACACTGTCAGATATCCTGGAATAACGAGTACTGTGCGAGGATACTTGTGTTGTACGCCTGAAGACTCACGTCATCTAGCCATAGCAGGCTGGAACTATCCCAATGCTCTGATCCTCAACACCGATGGTACGTTTAGCATGAACATTCCACTGAAACATTTGTTTTCCATCTTCAATGATCATCAAGTGGCAACGTGATGCAAGCAGTCAATCCGTTTAGTGAGAGCTCGCAATGATGCCAATAGTGTGAAGGTTGCCGAGAGAGCGAATACTGCTTTGCAAGGATCTCCTCAGACTCAGAGTATTGCTAAAATAACGATAGAAAGCATCAATTTGAAAGTGCCACATCTCACACCCAATGATGACATAAAGTTACAGTTGTTGACACGTATCAAAGCAGATGAGCCTATGATGATACCGTTCCGTCGATAGGAATTGCACGAGCTACCAGCACTCACACAAGGATCTACCATAGAAATCTGGTCCGTGAAGACATGTTCTGCATTGGACAGTCCAAGATATGTTATAGTATTTTTCCAAACGAAAAAAGCCGATAATTTGCATGAAGACGTCACCTTGTTCGATAATGCCAACATCAAATCCATACGATTGGCTCTGAATAGCGACTATTATCCGCAAGAACGAATGCTATTGGACTTTTCCAAAGACCAATATGCCGACGCCCACTTCAACTATACAGAGTTCAACAAGAGCTACCATAACTGTCAGGAAAAGCGCTCTCTAGTAAACTTTGCCGAATTCAAATCCCGACCAATGTTTGTTATCGATTGCTCGAGGCGCTATCTGGGTCTCAAGTCGTCTACAGTTGACATAAAGTTGGACATTGAAGCGACTACAGGCTTCCCTCCCGACACCAAAGCCTATTGCATCATCATTCACGATCAAATCATGGAACATCTCCCACTCAGCGAAATTGTTCGAAATATTGCCTAGGTGGGTGTTGCTGCATCAGTCAGACGTCAGTTTGCTTCGAAGAGTCATGGAGATCGCACTGGTTGACATTCAAGGGTTCATGGTTGATGGTGAATTCATTCCAAAGGAAATGACCATTCGCATTGGCAAAAAGACGAGTTATTTTCTATTCAAGCCATCTGTAGAATTTTCGAGTTTAAGCAGAGAAGATAAAAAGATGGCAAATCATGTGGAGCGTTACGTTCATGGTTTAAAATATTCCAGTGGTTATGTGGATTTGAATGAGTTGGATCAAATACTACGAGACAACCTGCAGCAAACAAATATCATCTACGCTAGAGGACACCAAAAGATTCAGTTTTTGCAGCGAAAATGTGCAGAGTTGGAGATGACCAATCACATTGTTAATTTGGAAGATTTTGACAATTCTTGGTGGCAGCCAATAACGTTCCTACAATCCATTCCACCCTGCATGAATCATTTCCGCGGAGGAAGGTTCCAGTGCAGTCTCCACAATGTCGATACTTTATATAATTGGTTATGTAATTTATTCCCAAAATAAAAAACTTTATAATAATTTCAGAGTTTTTATTCATCACATCCCTTATTTCTCAGTATAATGAAAATAACATGTGAGATTAAAATGAGTGAACATATTAGTGTACAACAAAGTGTCAAAATTGCAATGATATTGACAGAATCTTGATCATCATCTAATTTTGCGGGTGATTTCTTCAATGTAAATGTCTGCCAGTCCCCAGTTTCGCCGTCACTGCCATCAGAAAACGATAATTTCAATTTGTAGTCGATGGTGGTCCCATTGACTCGAGGCATGTCGATTGAATATACAGGTAGTTTGTTATCATTGACATGCATTCTTTTCATCATCTTCCAATCACATTGTTGTGTACGATTCATATCAAAACATATGGTTGCATTCCTCGTATCATATGGTATGTTTGTGTAGAAGACGTTGTTGCTCAGAGCTGTCAATAGAATGAAGCTTGCTTTCAGTATCGCCATCTAGTAGCTGTGTTGGTTGGATTCTTCTCGATGTAGGAAACGTTGCAACTGAACGTCTTGGTTCTGTGAACACCTTGTCCCAAATACTCAATTGCTCGAAATCTTCGAACAAACAAACTTTCTGCTCATACAATTGGATGTCTGCACTGAGCTTTCTAACTTTCAACCCAAATTCTTCTAGTGCACGTCTGTATTCGTCAGAAGACATGATACAACTGTTTTTTACATCCATACCTTCAACTTATATCCATCCAATCTCTCTCTCTCTCTCTCTTCTTCTCACTTTTTTACCTTCTCACTCTCTCTTACACTCACTACCCATCCCAATGAAACACAGAAAATTTCAATAATTATTTTATTAATGATAGATAGGCAGCATATATTATATTTACATTAGCCAGGACAAGTATTACATTTCCATAAGAAAAAACATATTCTGAAAAAAAAAAGGCATTTTTCATTGTCCTCTTTCGCAAACTACATTTGTAAAGATGATATCATGCTACTAAAATCTGTAACATATTGTTAAAGTAAGTCAAGAATCAATATCTGTCTGTTCATCACCAGAATCGATGAATCTCTCATAATGATAATGTGAATCATGTAAATTCATATCACATTCATATCGTTCTTTAAGCCCAAATAATAATTCTGAATCTAAAACAGAGGAGTGTAAGTGTAGGTGTATGGGGTTTTTTTTCTTTATAAATGTTTGATGAGTTGATTTACATGAAAAAATTACTCTTTTGCCTGTGTATGACCCCATGGCAATGTGTCAAACGAACCTGGAATCAAATACCGTTTATCATCTTTGGGACTCAGAGCAATTTTTGATTGTTGAATGCTAAACACATTGTGAGCATATGAACGGATAGTACGTTGAGACACTGTTCGTTCTCTGAAATTCTTCAAACAATTCAAATAATCTTCGAACCCAATTTTATTCTTGACAACATTAGTTTTCACCCCTTTCGATTTTTTGACAACCTTACCCCCTTGTACTTTATATGCATACATTTTCGAACGTAGTCCTACGAAATTAGTAACGATTTTCCCATTTGCTTCATCTTTTAATAAACCCAACTTTTTTTATTGACTAGTGGCATATTATATTTATTTATTATCTGGAGCATATTTAGATGTGTCAAATTGAGAGAGATCAGCCTTTATAACTTCTTCATATGCATCATCACATTTCAATTCATATATGAAGCTGTCTGTATCCATATATGACAATTTACACCTTTCAATACCCATTTTCGGAAGCATTGAGCTGTTATATGAGTTTTAGGTGTGAATAGTTGTTCAAGTTGCAGCGTTGAATCAGGATGCCGTTATCTTGGTTGTTCTATATTTGACGTATACAGAAAATCATATTCTTTCAAAGCCTAGAAAGATGATTGAATCATCTGAGTTATAGACTACAATTAACGGACAATGATTTCATCACACTACCTACCAGTCATTATACAGGGTTTTTATATATATATATATATATATTTTTGTATGCCAAGTTGAGTAGTCATTGTGAGTCCACTCGCCTACCAGGTGTTGAATAAAAAACGGATAATTTTGACATCATTTATTTTTAGATATTATACCAACATTTTCAAGTTCAGTAAGAATAAAGGCGATCTCGTTGTTGTTCTTATCTGATTCCATTAAATATCTCAGTCTATCCACCTAGATATTCGGATATGTCCATTCATCTAAAATATTGTACTCTTCATTCCCAATACTGGCTTCAGGCTCCACGCTCGACTTTGGACGTTTAGGCTTGGTCTTATTTTTGAAGAGGGGTCTGATAATTTTATCGAATTTCTCCTTTTCAGCTTATCCGGCCCAATCGATCTCTATGAATAGGGCTGATTTCTAGCATCTGTTTATACATCTGGTGATCCAGAGGCGTGTAATTTCGAGGGTTCTTGGAAAATAATAATTCCAAAAGACCCAGAGTACTTTTAAAATCAACATTATCTACGCCTATGTATTGGTCCTCAAAGCGTAGATTCTTATGTCCAAGTGTCCATCTGCCGTCAACATATTTCGGTCCATAAGCATTGTCATAATCTGCACAATGATATTTATCTAATGCTTGCTCTGATGAATGTGGTTTAGACTCCATGATCTGAACGCTATGGTGTCTGATATACAAGACTCTTGAATACCTCTGAAGACATCTGAATACCTCTGAAGACATCTGAATACCTCTGAAGACATCTGAATACCTCTGAAGGCGTGATCTGAAGACCTCTGAATACCTCTGAATACCTCTGAAGACATCTGAAGACATCTGAAGGCGTGATCTGAAGACCTCCGAATACCTCTGAATACTTCTATAGGTGTGATCTAAAGACTTCTGAATCCATTAACTGCCATCGGCTAATCAGCTAGGTTATTCGAATTGGTGGCGTCCACTCTATGGGCATTCCACATATGGTGGTATAGGTTAGTTTTATTCAAGAATCTCCCACATTTCTCGACACACAATGCTTGGTGTCGATTATAGCGAAATTTTCGCTCTTTAAAACTTTCCCACGTTCTATTACTATTGAAAGCAATCTACTCTCCAGTATTGAGACACTCTGTTATAAATCTGAAATAGCTGTGCTCTTAGAGTTCCTGAAATCTCCTGCTACCACTCTGCTAAAATTCACCGAACAAGAATTGCACTATATTCCAGTAGAGTGTTTCATTGAACATGCAGATCCCTGTGACCTATTAATGATATGACACAAACTTCCTCAAGAATATCGCAGCAACTTTAACCTACAAATCAAACTGCCATGCTTCGTTCATTATAATCGTTCTGATTGGACCACACACTGGGATGGACCACCATCTTCTCAAGAGGCATGTCATTCTTGTAGAAAAGGATTACTTAAATGAAATAATTCATTATAATATATAGTTGTTTTCGTATCCTTCCACTCCCCACATACATCATATTGCAAACACCATCTGTCATACGTCATATGTCATGTATCACGCGACATCAGATATTTTTTGAAAATCTGACCTGACACCTTATCGACTTCATAAATAATAATTTCCAACGCCAGACGTTGTGACGGTTATCGCAAATATTTCACCATAAATTCATTTCGATGTAATACTTGTGTGTCTTATTTTTCCATCCACTTGGTCCCCCATATATTGGAAAATCACTTTTTTCTGCAGCAATAATGTAATGCTGATTCAGGACAATAATATTCTAACGAGCCACCCATCATTACCAGGAGGTTTTCGTCATTCTAATACATCGACACACGATACATTGTTTATGTTGAATTTTTTTCGATATATTTTGAACGATATCCCTCAAACCATGCGACTTTGCATATAGGTATATTGGCATTTCCGAATTGTCCATAAAAAATCCTATTTTGAGAGTACCCACACACGTGATCATTTTACCAGAAGAAAAAACAACAGCATGACGTCACCCACTATAAAATAAATAATCAATTCAAGTATTTGTTTCCAATACGAGCGCGCGCGCGCTTATCATTCTGAGGGATCTCTCGCTTTGCTGGAACTTCGAACGCCATGAAGGTAACGGCATGACGTCACCCACTTTAAAATTGTTCTAAAATTCTAAAATTGTTCTAAAATTGTTCTATCCGTCATTCGGTTGCCCCCTTACGAGCAACCCTCAGAAGTCTTCGAGAGTCTTGTGTGAGCAAGGAATGACGGGGGCCTTACCTTTTAACGTGTGATCCCAAACACTTTCTTGGGCCATCAGAAAAATTTCTGCAGTCGACGGGACTCGAACCCACGACCGGCAAGCGAATGCGGATTAGAATATGGACACTCTGTCCGCACGGCTACCTGGCCAAATAAATAAATAATCCAAGTATTCGTTTCCAATACGAGCGCGCGCGCTTATCATTCTACGGGATCTCTCGCTTTGCTGGATCTTCGAACGCCATGAAGCGAGACAGCGTTGCCACACACAATAATGTAACAATATTAACATCCAAACACATACGTCCGAC